GTTCTTTGAAGAACAGTGGGTGATTGGTTAACGAACATAATCCGTTCCAAGACTTTGTTCGCTATCTGAATTGTTTGTTAACTGATTATCGATTTACCATAGGCTTTAATGGGAATTTAATTAATTTGTTCTGGAGACCCCCAAAAATAAAAAATATATACTTTCTTACTACGTTTATTTATATCCAATAACTAGCTTACCCGTCACGCATTGCTGCGATCTCAGAAGAAAGGAAATTCAAGCAAACTCGTTATGATAAAATTAAATTTACATTTTATCATTTTCATTGAAACTTATTATTATTATTCATTTTCATCGGGAAAACATTTCAAAGTGTCGTTTCAATTTTATTTATTTATTGGAGTGCTTTGTGGATGCACGATATTTTTTGTTTTTCCATCTGGTGCATACACGAATAAATCAAAAGGTTTTCCGATGCGTGAGTTGGCCACATACAGTTGTCCAAGCGAGAAGCACGGATTCTTTAAATTTAGCCCACATACTCGCAGAGATTGTTAGAAGTGCGATATTCCCCATTTTTATATATATTTTTTAATCCTTCATAATTTTGATTATTTAATTGCTCCTTCCTCTCTTCCTTGGCGTGTTGTGAAATTTCTGATAGTTGGATAATAAACCGTTTTATTGTAATTTGTCTTTTTAAATTATTTTGAGTTGATATTAAAATTTGGAAAAGGGGGATCCCTAGATCGGTAAAATAGGCGAATTTCCTTCTACAACTTCGGTTGTTGTTCATGATACAGTTAAGGCTTTAACAAAGTTCGAGCGATTACGTAATTAGCAAAAAAAAGTTGAAATAAAGTGATTAAACAAAAATTATAACAAATATCGTAAATAATAAATGCATATATAGAGATATTTTTTGGAGGGGGGAAATGGTCTTCACAATTTGAAATCGATCGAACACACTGTGCTCGAATGCTCGTGTAAACGCGTGCCATCTATCGTAGGGTAAATGCCAGAAACCTTCGTGGGAGTGTATTATAAAAAACTTCCCAAAGCTTCATGGCAATCGTACTACACCACAAACCTTCGCTGGAGTATATTAAACAACTTCCCAAAGTTTCACGGCAATCGGATAAACGGTGTGGTAATGCATGAAGGACACACAGACACACATACATTCATTTTTATATATATAGATAAAAATACATACATACACAGTCTTGCGTTTTTATTGGTCATGTTTTTTCTGTTTTTTTCATTTGTGGGTGTTAAAGAATCTGTCTAATGTCGATTGCTTTTCTCTCTTCTTCAGGATTTTTCATAAGTAATTAATAGCATTGCAATTGTAGAAATCCCCAAGCCTCAACCTGGTTTGGATGCCATTCTAAGATTGTTGTTCTGACATTCTCCCACTTCTTCAAAGAATCTTTAATGACAGATATCAGCATTAATCCTGTTTTTCAGAAGAAAATATATCTCGCCGAGTTTCTTGGTGTTCTTCATTCAAGAGTTCTTGGCATTCTTCTGTTGTCAGATCCGTTTCAGGTTCCATTATGAACTCTTTGATATTCTTTATTTCTCAGATGTGATTTTTGTTACTTTTTTAGCTGCTTGAGTCTTCTTGATTATACAGTATTTTTCTTAAATAAGATTGAACTGTGGCCTACTGTAGACCTGTTCGCGCCATATTACCCAGTAACATTAGGCATCTTCTGCCCACTCTCTACCTTTGCTATTATACTCTCACCTTTCAAAAAGAAACAGACGTAAAACTTAACAAGTGCTTACCCGACAGTCTCACGAATACGTAAAATAATTGTTTTGTCAGAAAAATAAAAGGCTGGAATTACAAGGGAGAGTTTCAAAGTTTGGAGGAATACTATCCGATCGGTATATGTCGGTTTGAGCGTTGATGTCAATGTCTCCCACACTCCGAAAAGTTTCGAATTGTTGCCCGAAGACAAGGGAAGACCAATCGGTATTCATTATTTTATGTCTTCTTGTGTTTGTTCTGTGGGTGTTCGTTATCCGATCTGTTCGTTAACCAATCACCCACTGTATATGAATTTTAAAAATTGTTTGGAACTATTATTTTTTAATATGTGAGTACTGACTCCATTATTGTTTTAAAATATGAATAATGTATGATATATAATATACTGACTTCTTATGCAGAAATATCATTGAAGAGGGTACAGAAGTATATGTTTCGAAATGCACATGTAACAGTAATCTAAACAAATAGTCACTGTCAACTGAAATTTTTGGATGTTAAAAGTGCTATTTCAAGATTTTCAAATTCACTTGAAAGTCTGAAAGTTTACAGAGAAAAGAAAGGAAGAATTTTAGCACTCCTTATCCACATTATAACAAATATTATTTGTTTTTCACACAGTTTGAACACTTCCTCTTCCATAAAGCAGAACCTTATTTCATATTTTTGAATTTTTATTTATAAATCAGTTAGACCTTCCACTACAGCCACTAATATTATGATGTAGGGCTTTGATATGTCCATGATTAATTGATATATTTATACTTGTGCCCTTGAATCTTATTTTTATAGTTTTATGATAAATCTGATTGAAAATTATTGAATAATTAACTGATTGATCATAACTGGTTTGCTGTTATACTAACTGATGTGTCTATAAATAATATAAAATGTTGTTTTGTATTTTAATCTTATATTTATTCTTTTTATAATATTTTTTTTTTTACAAGTTAAATAAAATATTATTTATTATTACAATTACAAAATAATATAATATAAGTTAGTGTTAACAATAGAGAACAATTTCTGTTATGGGGGAATATTACAAATGATTAAAGAAACAATTACAATTTAGCAAATTTAGAATATGAAGGTACAAAAGTAAGTCTTAATTTCTGTAGACATCAATTTGTATTTGCATACATAGTGATCTTTTTATAATATACAGAGGAAGAGTGAGAAGATTAGGCTTTTTGATTTTCAATTACAATGGATGCTACTTATTAAAATTACGTTTATAGTTATCAGCCTCTTATTATGATCACTTTTTAAAGTTCCAAAACATTTGTGACATTTCTATGCAAAACTAATTGTAAACTGATTACATTAAATGACAACTTATATATTGGTGATTCCAGCATAAGCTATTGTGACATCTATAGTCAGTCTGCACACTGTTGTTAGTCCTTTTCCTGAGAAAACAGTTGTTTACACAAATGACAAAATGTGGGGAAAATCTGAAATTGTAGACAAGTTGCAATTTGGACATTGTCAAGACAATCACACTATATTTATCAGGCAATTACTATGTGTACACATATTTGGAGTAGTACATTTACAGTATAAAAGATTCTGCAGCCTTATCTCATACCATTGTATTTTATACAAGGCAAGTTTTTTTTGACAATTCTCAAGGTCTATGCACATTCTGTATTCAATTCAATTTTTATTGTTCTGTATCATGGATAAAATGCCCAACAGAAGACATAATGATCTATCTTTGAATGATAAATTGAAGGTTTTTAAAATATTATTATTATTCTCCCAAAAATGAACCGGAAAAAGATTTCAATCTCACAGCTTTTATTGTGCTCACTTCTGAAGAACAAAAGCAGCACAATCTAACAAGAACAATGAAACTAAAAGGCAATATTGAGGAAAAATTGGGGGTAGAAACAGCTTTAAAGTTTTAATTTATGGAAGAACAAAGAGAAAGGTTTGCCAATTAAAAGTCCACTCATTTGTCAGAAAGCCAAAGAGTTTGCTAAAAATGGGCAAAGAAAATTTTACAGCAATTGATAGATGATTTTCTTGCTGGGAAAAAAAACAAAAACATTGTTTACAAATGGACATATAGAGAAGAAAAATATGCAGATTTCTCTTCAGTGAAATATTGGTTGATGGAAGAGTGGCTTTAGCTTCTTTTTGAATTTTAATTTTTCAATGTTTATAATGCTGATGAAATTGGCCTTTATTTCCTTGCTATGTCTAAATGGACCATTTGTTAAAAAATAATTGGCAGACAGCTGTAAGATTTCCAAAGAGTAAGTCATGTTGTGTAAGCACAGCAGGAGAGGAAGAGGACATGATAGTAATTGGAAAAAGTAAAAAGCCTTGTAGTTTTAAGGGAATGAGAGCATTACTAGTTGCTTATTAGGCTAGCTTTCAAATTGCAGACCTATAACTTCTCTCTGTCATCCATCTGTCCTTCCTTAATCTCAAGAATAGTTAGATAGATGAAAATGGAAAGCTCACATCCTCTGGCCTCTATTAACTATATTAAAAATCACATAACTTTGATCCAGACCAGAAGTTGTGATTTTTTTTTAAATAAAATAGGATTAAAAATTGCAGCCCAACTTTGTTTTAATATAAATTCTTGGATAACAGCAACAATTTTTAAGGACTGGTTTCTGGAGTGAAACCAAAAACTGAAGTGTGAGGTCTTTCTATTGATTAACAGTTCTACAGTGCATCAAGTGACATGCACTTTACTTCACATAAGTGTCACATATTTGTCACTCAGTACAATGTCCTTCATCCAACCTTATGATCACAGCATATTCTGAACTATGAAAGGATATTATTAACTATAATATAGTTTATTTTATAATAATGTAATATATATATATATATAATTAAGAGAACTAACTTATATTAATGGAAATAATTTATTTAATACTATAAAGATGTAAGATGAACAGTGCCACATTTCTTTGGTTATACTTCTTGATTTTTGAATGAATTAGCATTTTTTCTCTCTATATCTAAATTATGTATCATGTCAGACTTGTAATTTAAATTAATTTGTGTTTGACTTGGAGTGGGCCTCCTCCACTTCTGCTTACCAGTAAGTTCCATTAAATTACATAGTATATTGATCTGAATACTAACTATAGTATTTCTCACATAATCATTATATGTCAATTCATCAAATCTTGCTTCTAAGTAATTAAACTTTAAAAATTTGATTTTTAAATTTTTTTTTAGCTGTTCTTAATTTCTAGACTTAGTTTTTCTTTTTTTAAATAAATTCTAGACACGAATGCAGAGCCTGAAACCGAATCCTCATGCCGTTTATAAAAATGTTCCGGAAGCCTTATATAAAATGGTTCGATTTGAAGGTATATTACGTCCAATCCGTGGAATGAATGTTGTAATTGTGGGTGCAGGACCAGCACATGCTCTTTATTTTTCTTGTTATGAAAAGATGAAATATGTTTTTAATAAAAATGAAAGAAATTCTCATAGTCATCTTGCTCATGGTAAATTTGATTTTGAATTACATTTAATTTGTATTTACAGGATTTTAATATTAGATATGTATTTTTTTAAATAATATTGTAATGATTTAGTAGTTTTTATTATTCAATATTTTTTAATTTACTTAAATTAATTTTTTTGTTTATTTAATCAACCCAACAGAATTTTTCAATTCTATTGGGTTGATTAAATAAACAAAAAAATTACTCATAATTAAATTGTTTTTTCAGTTCTGGCTAAAATTTAGGGATGTTAGGTTAGAAGAAAGTGATAGTAATTATTCTAAATCATTTGTAGTGTTATATAATCTGTTATGAGAAATTCATTATTTTTATTTGTGATTTAAAATAATTCAAAATGAAATGTTAAGTTTATTCAGTTTTTTAATTTTCAAAAATCAGTGTTTTTAGACCTTAAATATTATAAATTTTATTATTCAAAATAAATATAAATTTTATTATATGTCAAATATCTAAACTGTTGTTAATAAAAAAAATTAAAATTCTATTAATTTCCTATTTTTAGGTGCTGCTGGATGTTTTGCAACTCTTCTTCATGATGCAGTAATGAACCCAGTGGAAAGTAAGAATTTTATTTATTTTAAAATAATTTAACCTATTTATGTTCTTAGATTTAATTTTTGATAAAATAAGGTCATGTAAACATTATATTAAAACATATATATTAAAAAACATTTTATATATATAAATTTTTTTCTAATGTAAACAATAATAATCTTAATTTTTATCTATGTTTGTTTATTAAACATTTGATTCTGAATCCACCAAAGAACATTTTTTAAATATCAAGCAATTATTAATTTTTTTAATCTTTGAAAATATTGGAAACTTAGAATTATACAGTTGTAGTACAAGAATAGTTATGAATAAAACAACTCTAATTTCAAAACTAATCATCAACTTGTCAAGAAATGTGTTGATTTTACTTTTGGCAGCAATGATCTCAATGTGGTTGCTGCAAAAATGGACAATTTGTTTATTTTAGCTTATAAATACATGAATTTTTCTTATATGGGTGGAAACATTAAAAATTAAAAGATTCAGGAAGTTAACACTTAGCTTTTTTATTTTAATCCAAAGATATTAAATAATTGCAATTATCTTAGTGTTATCATAAATCAAACATTCATGTAAATTTCATTCATACTGGTATTTTATCTAAAATATATTGGTGCTAGTCTTGTTATAAAATAAATAACTTACATTGTTCAAAAATTGTAAAATTTTCTATATTAGATCTTCATTAGTTCAAAAGTTAATGATTACTATATTTGAAGAATCTATTGTAAGGAATCATTTTTGGATTTACTATTTTTGATTTAGTTTACCATAGGAAACAAAAAGCTTTTATCCCATTTCTATGCAAATAAGACTTTAGCATGCTCATACGAGGTCTGTTCAAAAAGTATCGGACCTTTGGTCGGCAAAAATAAATTTATTGATTTTGAGGTACAAAACCCTAATCCCCTTCAAAGTAGTCTCCTTGGTAGTGTATACACTTCTCCCAGTATTCCTGCCATTGCTGGAAACACTGCTGGAACACATCTTTTGGAATGGCCATCAGCCGGTCCGTCGGATTCCGCACGATGTCTTCTCTCGACTAAATTCGGGTTCCTTTTAGCGGCATTTTCAGCTTGGGAAATAGCCAAAAGTCACACGGAGCCATGTACGGAAAGTACGGAGCATGACGAACCACAGGAGTGTTATGTTTGGCGACTAAAGCCTGAATCAGACGCACAGAATGGGCGGATGCGTTATCATGATGGAGCTGCTAAGTTTTGATCGACCACAGATCCGGTCGTTTGCGTCGCACTGTATCGGAAAGATGACGAAGGACCTCCTGGTAGGTACTCCTTTTGCGATGGTTTGGCCTTGTGGTGCGTACTCACGACACACCACCCCACGAGAGTCGAAAAAACTGTCAACATGACCTTTGATATTTCTGCGGAGCTGCCGCGCTTTTTTTGGCCTCGAGGATCGTCCCCGAAAGCCTGCTGAATCTTGCGAATGGTTTACGCTTGGGTATCGCCAAGGTTTTTGGCAAAATTTGATGTAATATCGCTGCTCACGTTGTTCAGTCATTTTCCAGCTTAGTGGAATCCGACGAGAGCGCANCTATTAATTTATAATCCATGTTAAAATCTTAATAGTAAGTTAATTTTGAATATTCAAAAATTAAATTACTAATTTTAAAAATTTAATATATTGAACTTTTTGTTTTGACAAATTTCAGTTTAATTGTTTACTATTGACTATCATAAAATTCAGCAACTAATTTTTGTTGTAATATATATATTTGGAAGAATGATCCTACTCTAAAAGTTTAAAAAATTGAAAATGTATTTTTCTTAATTAAGCATATGAAATTTCTTTTTTGAATGCTAAAATCTCAGAGCTGAAAGATGATTTTGAAGATTATTTTATTTGGAATTCTTTCTTCAATGTTGTTGGAGGTAATTAAACATCAGAGATTGGAGCAAATGGTAAGCTGTTAATGTCAGATTAATATTTCAGCTCACTGAGTTTTTCAAAAATAGTTTAGTGTGTTTTCAAATTTAAAAGTTTTACGATAAGTTAAGATATTACACGAATTAATTGTAAAATTATTACAGTGGTGAAACAACGAATGCAGATGTATAACAGCCCATACAAATCGTGTCTCGACTGTGTTCACAGAGTTTGGAAAGTGGAAGGAGCCAAAGCGTTCTACAGAAGTTATACCACTCAACTGACGATGAATGTACCTTTCCAAAGCATTCATTTTATGGCGTATGAATTCATGCAAGACACAACAAATCGCGAAAGGACGTACAATCCTAAAGCACACGTAGTCTCTGGTGCTGTAGCAGGTGCATTTGCAGCGGCCGTGACCACACCTTTAGACGTCTGTAAGACACTTCTAAACACCCAAGACGGAAGGACATTTATTGTTTCAAAGCAATCACATATCAATGGGTTGATGGAGGCAGCGGATTTCACAAAAGCCAAATGATAAAATTAATCTGCATTTTTCAATTATTAAATATTTTGATTTTAAAGATATTATTTGATGACACAAAATATGATATCAAAATTTAAACCAGAATTGTTATTTGGTACACACAACAATGACTCCAGTTCTAGTTTTGATTTTTAAATCTTTGTAAGCCTAATATACATTAATAATGAAAAATTGTTATAATAAAGAGATATCTAAACCTTGTCATGGTAGAAGCTAAATATCACTTATCCTAGAAATACACAAGATCCACATCCTCATTGGAATGGTATTTTTATATTATATACAGTTAAAATACTATAGTTATCATTATTACTTTATTGGTCCATTATAACTAGCTAGATATTTTATAACGTTTGTTTAACTGCTTCAGTTTTAAACATACTCTTAGCTTTTATCTAAGGTTAAGTTGTAAGCGTAACTTGCAACTTAACCTTGAACAGGCAAATGAAAGTTAAGAGTATATATTATACTACATAATAGTCATGTACCAAGTTTATAAAAAAATGAATTATATAAATATGTGGGATTGCAGTTTGGTCACTGTGGTCATAATACATTTCATCAACACTGTCAGTTGTCAGGCTATGTATATATATTTTTTTACTTATATTTTGGTATGCCACTTTTTTTAACTCTGTCCTTTGGGCAGGGCACTAAGAAGGCCTTTTTAATCATACCTATTATGACTAGGCCCACAATGGGGCAGATTGATGGTAAAGGATGGGTTTCCAACATACAGTGGAACCCCGGTTAACGAACATCCTGGTTAACGACCAAATCGGTTAACGAACTTTTATTTTGCAAAAAATTTGTCTCGGATAACGAACAAAATTCGGATAACGAACGTAACGGTATTTTGTGTCAAATTTTAGTTGGTGTTAGCCATGCGCGAGTTAAGCATTGCTTTTCCGAGTGTTTGTGCTATGCTTCTTTTTTCAGTTTTGTGATTTATATATTTAATCAATATGGCATCCAAGAAAAAAAAAGTCATAGTGGCAATAGAAAACGACAACGCAATATAAACGACAATGCGCTATCGCATTTGAGAAAAATTTTGATTAAAATATTAATAGTAAGACAATCAACTTTAGATCAATTTCTTGTTCCTTACGGAAAGGCGATCTGCCTAGGGGAATGCCTTCTGGGAGGTGTTTTTAAGGGAAACTGGCCCCTATTAAGGCATTACAGACGTGGAGAAAACCCGGAAAACTTCACGTGGCCAGCCCGTTTGAATGAGGTGCGAACCCACGAACGAACTCCCCCGTGTTCAAGGTGCAAAGACCATTTAGCCACTGGTGGGTTTTTTTTAACCAAAAGAGACTTTGACTGGAAGAATCTTCCAATGAAGTGCTACCCGTTATTTTTTGGTGGGGATTCCCCTTCTAAGCGTTGGTTCGTACATCTCCACTTTTCTGCCACCAACTACAACAAACGAAGGTATGTACAGTGCTATTTTATTAAACAAAGTTTACATGTTTGTTGTTCGTTATCGTTACGATTAGTAACGATAACGAACAACAAACATGATTCGTATATCGTTACGATAGATACTACGTTTTCTTACATTTTCATCAAAGAAAATTACTGTATATTACAAATAAAATCACAAAAATTTCTAGAACGGATTATTTGCATTTGCATTGATTTCTATAGGAAAAATTGCTTCGGTTAACGAACAATTCGGTTAACGAACGGAGTCGTGGAACGGATTAAGTTCGTTAACCGGGGTTCCACTGTATCTGGAACAGACCACCCACTGAAAAATTCTTGGGATTTTACAACCTGCCCAGACTTGATCCCTGGTTCCTAGAGCAGTTGATTAACACTATACCACCTTGTTCATTTAACTGGCATAAATTTTTAGTGTAAATCTAAAATAGTTACTATATTTATAACTGTATTGCTTTTTTTCCCTTTAATTCCCAGATTTAGTGATATAATGAAGATTCAATTCAATATCTGTTGTTATAATAATAGAAATTATACAGTTAAGACTAAGAGAATATTGAATGGTATAAGTGTTAAAATTGTACATTTCTGTGTATATATTGGACCTTGTTTATTAATAGGACTTATTGTACTGGTGAAGTTTCTGATTAGCAGAGAGAGATCTAAGTCAAAACAAAATATTTTTATCTTCACCTGAAAACAAAGATAAAGACAATTTCTATTCTCAACTAGGATGACATGCAGTTGACACTTTTTTCAGTGCAAAAATACTTTTGAGAAAAAATGCTGGAATCTAAGATATACTATATGACTGTTCATATATAGTTTCTATTGCAAGAAAATGTTGGGCATTGTGGCTTGTGACTGTTGCTTTGAATCAGCTTGACACAAGGAAAAATTTAAAATAAATTTTATTTTTATAAAAATACCATTCTTTATATTCTGTTATTTTTTCATCACTGCACAATGAAACTAGTTTCAAGTAATTTTAGATGGGTGCATTTCATTGTATGTGACAATGTGATACAATAAGCATTGCATTGTCTCATATAACACTGCACAACAAAAATGAAAGATTATGTTGAGTTCTGTAACAATATTATAGCATTCAACATTAAACAGGGTTGTGGAGTCAGTATACCAAGTTCCCTATTTTGACTATCAGAATTTTAGGCTTGACTCTAACTTTGACTGCTGCCTCTAAATAAAAATTTGAAATATACTTTGATTATATTAACCCAGAATGGTATTTTATTGCTACCAAATGAAACATCAGGCATTTCTATCAAAATTGAAAGTACTTATTCCTTCTTTTTTACATCCATGTCCATATTCTTATAAATCTCTGTGTATATCCTGCCTACTTAGACTATAACAAAGTCTAAGTAGACAGGATATACACAGAAATTTGAAAATACTTTTTTCAGGAGTCTTTTTATTTTTTTATTTTTTAATAAAAAGTAAAACATCTGGATACGAGTCCAATTTTTCTTGCCCTGTCTAATCACCAGAAACAACTATTTCCATTGCAAAGACAACCTTTCTTTAGAGGCTATGCCTCTGCACAAATATGTAAAACAGTTTAAAATGTCCACAGGTGACAATCCCAACACAATTAAAAATATAAACATTTTAAACTGTTTTACATATTTGTGCAGAGGCATAGCCTCTAAAGAAAGGTTGTCTCTGCAATGGAAATAGTTGTTTCTGGTGATTAGACATGGCAAGAAAAATTGGACTCGTATCCAGATGTTTTACTTTTTATTAAATTGTAATTCTGCCAGCCCTTTTCTACAAAAAAAGTGTCTTTTTTTTATTATCACCACTATCATCACCCCCCCCCACACACAAATCCAAACTGTTATTCATCTGTGATTATAGTAAAGTGTTTTCCAATATTTCCCTAGATCTAACCCAAGTCTTCTTAACCATTTTGTATCAACGTCCAGGCCGAGCGATCAAGGCGGCAGCCTACCACCTCGGGGGACCAGGGGTCAGGAATTTTTCAGGAATTTTTCAAGTGGTCTGTCCAATCAGATATGTTGGCTCTGTCCCTCACCACCCGGTCACCCTATTGTGGGCTGGTCGAGTCCATAATGGGCTTGCAAAGTATGCCCTCTTAGTGCCCTTGGGGCAGAAAGAGTTTAAAAAAAAAAAAAAACATTTTGTATGGGTATTTTGACAATAAAAACTTAGAATTAGCTAACACAATATATTTGAATATAAATTTCTGAAAAGAAAATCAACAGTAAGTAGTTGAAATGCAAAGTTCATGAAGTAGAGAATTATCGAAAAAGATCTTACATTACAGGAGGCTCCTACAAGATAAGGTAGGAGGTTAATGTCCTTGTTAGGAGCTTAATATAAAGTACATAATAAAAACAAACAGGGGTCATTCTATTTTTACCAACTCAGACTCCTGTAGTAACAAATTTGCTTCTGACTTCAACTTACAGCTCTGGTAACAAAGTTAGATTACTTAAATGTATACAAGTGATTTCAAAAAAGTTTTCTGACTAATGAATAAAACTATAATATCAATGATTGACAGTTTTCAGCATTTTACTTAACATTTTTACATTTCATTTTTATAATAACCAATTTTTATAATAGTGAAATAAAATATTTTGCTAATTGTAATTTGTTTATTATAATGGAATAATTAGCTTGCTCCAATATAGTAGTGAAGTGCTTATGTTAGGACTTTTGTGTGTCTGTCAGACATTCTATTTATTGTGCATGTACATACGCATGTGCAATGAGACAATTCACTTTCGTTACCTAAGTTCTGTTCAAGCCATTCATTGCACACATCCATGCACGTGTGCAAAAGGGAACTGGACATTTTCATTTATGGTCACTGTAAGCTGTAGTAAAAACTACCTGGTTCCTCTGGAATCTATAAACCACATCCCTTACTGTATATTCAATGAAAAATTTTTCTGAACAACTACTTGATTTCAAGAATTTATAAAATTTATTTTAAACAAAATTAATATTTGACTCACTTTTGTTGAGTATTCTATCAGGTTGACTTGACCAACCTTGTTCAATTTTAGTTAATTATAAAATATAATCAAAAACTTTCTATGGAGGATTATGTATAAAGACTATAAGGATTATTTAAAATAATACTTTAGGTCGTTGATTTTGTAAATCATAATATGAATACTATAATAATGCATTTCATAAATTGTATATATAAGGGTTGTTAAGAAAGTTATTGTGCTGATTTTTTTCAGCTGAAAGTTTGACTACAGATAAAAAAAAAACAGAATATACATACAAACAAGCAAGCTCTTAACTATTTTCAGACTGGATGGTGTAAGTGAATGCCACAAAATATCAGTTAAACAATGGCTGCTATTTTGGAATCATCCATAGTAGATGAACAGCAAAGAGTTATCAGGTTTTTTGGTCTCAAGGTCAAAATTTCATTGAAATTCACAAGCAAGTGCTGTCTGCATGTGGTGAAGATGCTTTTTCACTAAGAACTGTACAGTGATGATGCAAAGAATTTTGAGACAAAAAATGTTTGTGACAAAGATTCTGGCTACACACTTCAGTGACTCTAAACATATTGATGAGATTATTAATGGGAAGATTGTAGTCTTACCATCTATGACATATCAGAAGAAGTAAACATTAATGTCTGTACTATCTATAACATAGCAGTATTGAAGAGTTTTGGTTACAAAGTATCATCAGACAGACCCCAAAAATGTTGAATGATGACAATAAAGGTTGGACTGCTGCCTTAAAAATTTGCAGCGTTACTGGAAGGAAGGAGAATGGTTTCTCAATGACATTGTGACAGGTAATGAGTTCATAATCTGTCATTACACATCTGAAACTAAGTGTCAAAGCATGGTCTAGAAGCATATTGGTTTTCCTACACCAAAAAAGTTCAAAACACTTCCTCCATGAAAAACGTGATTCTCTCTCTTTTGGGATTCCTGACAGAATGTTTGAAATTGACTGTCTTTCTTGATAGCAATCTATACAAAGAAACTTTGAAACATCTGAGAACAACAATACAAGGAATGCAGCCGTACATGTCTCTCCATGCCAACAAAATTATCCTCCTCCTTGACATGCACAGACAGTTGCGCTCATCAATGACATGCTTCTTGGTCTAGGGCCATACATTGTCATCCATCGTATTCCCGATTTGGCCCCTTCTAACACAATTTTGGTAGTCTCAAAAAAGTCTCAGGGGTGCCATTTTGATGAATGAGGCTTGAAAAAACAGTATGTGTGTGGCTGCATTGGCAACCATCTGTTTTCTTTTGCACTGGTTTATGGTTTATGAAAATTGGTACTACATTGGAACAAGTCAAGTACCTAGACAACTTGGGAGACTGTGTTGAAAAAAGTTCAATGTACGGTCTTTCATATGTATATTGTAGTTGTTGTTTACATTAAAATTCAGCTACATAAAATAGGCACAAAGACCCTTAACAATTCTTGTAGTATTTTATTTGATACTCTGTAACTACCACATTATACATTCAAAAATGTTTCTTCTATTTCACTCTGTAAAACAAAATCCTTACAAAAGATGAGAAAAGTGTTAGAAAAATTTCTTGTGGTATGTACTTAATAAGTTATCTTATTTAACAAAAAATTGGTGTAATCTATTAATTTATAATCCATGTTAAAATCTTAATAGTAAGTTAATTTTGAATATTCAAAAATTAAATTACTAATTTTAAAAATTTAATATATTGAACTTTTTGTTTTGACAAATTTCAGTTTAATTGTTTACTATTGACTATCATAAAATTCAGCAACTAATTTTTGTTGTAATATATATATTTGGAAGAATGATCCTACTCTAAAAGTTTAAAAAATTGAAAATGTATTTTTCTTAATTAAGCATATGAAATTTCTTTTTTGAATGCTAAAATCTCAGAGCTGAAAGATGATTTTGAAGATTATTTTATTTGGAATTCTTTCTTCAATGTTGTTGGAGGTAATTAAACATCAGAGATTGGAGCAAATGGTAAGCTGTTAATGTCAGATTAATATTTCAGCTCACTGAGTTTTTCAAAAATAGTTTAGTGTGTTTTCAAATTTAAAAGTTTTACGATAAGTTAAGATATTACACGAATTAATTGTAAAATTATTACAGTGGTGAAACAACGAATGCAGATGTATAACAGCCCATACAAATCGTGTCTCGACTGTGTTCACAGAGTTTGGAAAGTGGAAGGAGCCAAAGCGTTCTACAGAAGTTATACCACTCAACTGACGATGAATGTACCTTTCCAAAGCATTCATTTTATGGCGTATGAATTCATGCAAGACACAACAAATCGCGAAAGGACGTACAATCCTAAAGCACACGTAGTCTCTGGTGCTGTAGCAGGTGCATTTGCAGCGGCCGTGACCACACCTTTAGACGTCTGTAAGACACTTCTAAACACCCAAGACGGAAGGACATTTATTGTTTCAAAGCAATCACATATCAATGGGTTGATGGAGGCAGCCGTAACCGTGTACAGAATAAGCGGACCGACGGGGTATTTTAGAGGTCTACAAGCCCGCATAATATACCAGATGCCATCTACGGCAATCGCTTGGTCCGTTTACGAGTTTTTCAAATACGTACTACAAAAAAAACAGAGACATTGGCACACCTCGGAATTGCATCATTCAGTTTAATTTTATCAAAATTACATGATAGTAATCAAAAAATTACTACAAAATTAAAATGTGTGTATCTAAAACAATTATCGCTATCATATATTTGTCACTAAAAATTTGTCAGTAGAAAATTTCTATTGATATAAACTTTGATTTGGAAAAGTTATATTCTTCATTACAGTTAGAAATAAACTGTGTTTTGGGTATTTACTACAAGAAAACAATTCAATAATGATTCTTGCCAATTTTTAAAATTTTATTTAATTATTTGCCAATTTAATGTGTCAATATCATCAATAATACTTATCGAAGTGACTCTTAATAGAAATCGTCATAAAATACATAATGTGGTGGAAAGGATAACACGAAAAATAATTTTGGCATTAATCACCAGAGAAATAATTGACAGATTTAAGTGACAAAAATTTATGTATTTTATTGTAAATGCTTTATAGATATATAAATATATTGTTTAGATTGAAAATGTTGGACAAAGTTGTTAAAAATTGACATAAATATCAAAATGAATATTTCAGTTTGAAAAATTGAAATTTTCAAGTTAAATTGATATCCATGTCAAATTGAATAGAAATTTAATTTCAAATTAGAAAAATTGAAAATTATTGTAAAATAATTAAATTATTAAATTTTATAAATATAAAATAAAAACTGGCAAAATGCTTTGAAGTGGTATTTTTGTATTTTCTTTAATATAACAACAATTTTTTACTCATTGAAACATATTTCACAAAATAAAGAACATTTTCTTACTTTAGATTTTTACTATATTAAAAATGAATATGTTACATATGTTAAGCATTTATGCCTAATTGAAATTCTACTTTGACAAATTATTGAAATTTGTCACTTCATATACATTTTTATCATCTAATAAATAGCCTACTTGATATTTTCATTTTTTTTATTTAAAATTGTATGAAATTTATAGTTACAAAGCTTAAAATTAATATTCATAAACTTAACATTAATTAATTAAGCAATAAAAGCTCAAAATACAATGAAATTAAGTATCGTATTACAAATACTACATGTGAAAAAAAATGATAACATTTCTATTGTATATTCGAATATAAATTCGTATATGCATATTCCCAATGGAAGCGCTGTATCGTCGAATACGGAATAGCTTCTACGGACAAAATATTTTAATCGTGTAAAGCAGCCAAATTACAGGCATTCGCGCATGCACTTTACAGAACACCAACCTCGCGATTTAGCTCGTGAGTGCTACACACCAAAAATATCGTATAATGCTTCCAATAATGATTCTATCCAGGGCCAGCACAGCTTCCCTATCATTAAATGTCACCGCACGCTATTGGTACCAGGGTTCTCCGTTGCCTTCTCTGGATACGCGAGGGGGAAATGCCTTCCGCGAGGTCGTTTAAAGCCGTGGTCACACCATGAGATTTCCAGCCGCGCAGCAACTGCAACCGCGACGGCTGTTCTAGTTAACTAGTAAACTAACTACGAAAGCCGCCGCGACTAGAAACAAAAAGGTTCTACTCGCGCCGATTGCAAACGCGCATCCAATCAGCAAATGCGTTGTGCCACGTCATACGATGACAACATTGAAAATAGTTCATCATGGTGGAAAGTAAGAGGATTGATACTTTTACAGAATCGAGATTGATCGAGTTTATTCAGCTCACGAATGTTTTATCGAAGATTTTATCTTTTCGTGTATTCTCGCCAGCTGTATCAAAATGATCGCCTCTTTATTTTATTCATTGCCGAAAAGAAAGTGCTTGCCATTTTAATAAGAAAAGTACAGTTGTCCCTTGATAATCCGACAGGTATGGGACCAAAGGTGTGTCAGATTACCAAAAGTGTCCGGATTACCGAAAATAATTACATATTTCGCATTGTTTTGCTAGCAGTAACTTACAATATTCTCTACTCCAACTGTTCGAACAGAACTGCTCACATAAAACACACGAAATGTGTGTCATCGAGTAAGAATTGGATGGGGAGATTCACATCGCGACATGCTTCTGTGCAAGCAGACACGTAACGGGGACGGGTACCTTGACGGGAGGTGCGTCGGACTACTGAGCATGTCGGATTAAAAAACGTCGGACTATAGAGGGACAACTGTAGTTAAAATTCCGTAAAAACTCTGAAGTAGAATGTAAACCGTCGGTAAACTCACAGAAGTAGTCAAAATCAAGCTACTGTAATCTTATTGGTTTATTATAGAGTCACGTGTTTCCGAATTACAACGCCAGCGAACAATGTGTGACCACGAGAAGACTGGTGCGATTCGGCTTAAAGTTTTACCAAAAATAAGCGTAACAAACATCACCGATCGTTGCATCAATGTCTTGATCCACTGCACCAGAGCAAATTGTTTAGCCACAAATCACTTCCTATACATTCGGAAAATCAAAAACGACGACAATTTCAGGTATTTCCCCAACCGGATCGACACAATTCACCGCCATGACGAATGCCCAAAATTCGATATAATATAATCACAGGAATTTTGTACTTTTAGCTTTTCTTGCAGTTCTAAATCGCAAATTATCTTGAAATCCATTTTGCATCTAAACAATGAAAATTATGTTAAATTAAAAAATTCCGTTATAATTAAAATGTAATTCACGATTACGGTGAAAGCGATGCAGCACAGCAAACAGCCCAATAAAATGCAGACGAATGAAACGATAATCATCAACATGAAAGCCCAAATTCTAAAATACTCGGGCATTATCAGGTACAAATATGAGTAATGCAATTGGCTGGTATCCGAAATTATCCCAAAATACACAAGAACTGATACAACTTCGAATTTTGTGTTTAATTGATTTATAAAAATCCACAATTCTTCGTGATGGATCATGCTATTTTGTAATTTAGTTTTTATATCTCGCTCGCTCCTCCTTATTGTAAACATTTTACCACAAAGTTCTTCCAACTCTTTATAAAAGACAAATATCAATAATAATAAAGCAAATAATAGTAGATTATTTGCAATTCCTCCACTAATGAAACTTGTGACTATTTCAGGCACAGTGTGGCAATAGATGGTTTGAACTTGTTCGCTTTTAAAAGCAGGCTGTATTTCATTTGTCATTTTTATGAATGGTTACTTACCTATGGTTAAAAAAAAGGTTTAAACAAACTTTTAGGTCGCCCCATTATGGGCCTGCCCGAACCCATAATGGACTTGCTAAAAGAGGCCCTCTTAGTGCCCACAGGTTTTTTAAAAAACCCTCTATCTTCCTCCCCATTCAATCTTTAACCACCAAAATTTAATATTATCAACGTTCCTTATATACAAGCTATCATGTTAATCATAGAGAAATTATCTAATATCGTCTCCTGAGGATCCAAGTTCGAATTCAGATCGGTTAATAAATGTGGTTCAAATTCAATTTATTGACGGTTGGATGGCCGAGGCGATTAAGGCATCAGCTTACCGCTCTTGGGTACTCGGGATTAATCTGAGCAGTCATAATCCCAGGAAGATTTCTTGGGCGGTCCATTCCGGATTGGTCTCCCATTGTCGACCCGACCAAATCCGCGATGGGTATGGTGAAAGGTCTTCTTGGGGCCTACAAGGCGAAAAGAATTTTAAAAAGAAACTGGATTTATGATTAAAACTTATTTGTACAAAATATTAAAGCAGACTTCATGGATAATACCAATGAAAAAAAATTATTTTTTGAAATTTCATTATTTTTTTTTTAATTTTGAAATGTTAGATATTTTCATAAAATAATAAACAAGACGTATATATTTATAAGTTTAAGAATCAAAATATGTTGTTATATAATTAATAGTAAACTTTTTATAACAAAATAAAAAATAATAAGCTCGTAAACAACAATAAAGCAGAGGCGTCTTTCTTTTTCCAGCCAATGTAAAGTATGATATTTTTATATTATGTAAATTATAATTACACTATAATGAAAATAATGTTGATAAAGAAAAAAAAATAATTTTAAAACATTTTATATTCTGAATAAACAAATAAGTAATTTAAAAAAAAAATTAAAAAAATAAAATTTTACTTAATCTTAAAATTTTATTTTACCATTTTAAAATTAATTATTATTTACATAAAAATAATTTAAAATTAAAATTAATAAATTAAAAAATTAAAAATTACAATAAGATCATAAACATTATTTTCAAATTAAAACAACTCCGAACAATGCCGAATAACTCTAACGGTTTTTCAAATTTAAAATCTTCCGAAATAGGTAATTTGATTTATTTATGTTTTAAATTTTAATCAAAGATTTAGAAAATATTACAATTATGTTACACAATATATTATAATTAATGATTTAATTAATTCATTAAATAATGAAATTTATTCATTATTTAATGAATTTAGGCTTAATTGAAAGGCCTTTCAATTAAGCCTAAATTCGAGTTAGTGACGTAGTGACAATTTAGGCTTAGTTGTTATTACTTAATTTTTTTTNAGTATAGTCTATATTTTTTATTTTTTGGAGGTCTCCAGAACGAATTAATCAAATTCCCATAGAAACCTATGGTAAATCGATAATCGGTTAACGAACAATTCGGATAACGAACAAAGTCTTGGAACGGATTATGTTCGTTAACCGATCACCCACTGTATTTATAAGTTTAAGAATCAAAATATGTTATTATATAATTAATAGTAACCTTTTCATAACAAAATAAAAAGTAATAAGCTCATTAACAACAATAAAGCAGAGGCGTCTTTCTTTTTCCAGCCAATATAAAGTATGATATTTTTATATTATGTAAATTATAATTACACTATAACGAAAATAATGTTGATAAAGAAAAAAATAATTTTAAAACATTTTATATTCTGAATAAACAAATAAGTAATTTAAAAAAAAAAATTAAAAATTGAAAAAATAAAATTTTACTTAATCTTAAAATTTTATTTTACCATATTGAAATTAATTATTATTTACATAAAAATAATTTAAAATTAAAATTAATAAATTAGAAAATTAAAAATTACAATAAGATCATAAACATTATTTTCAAATTAAAACAACGTTGGCTGGAATAACTCTAACGATTTTTCAAATTAAAATCTTCTGAAATAGGTAATTTGCTTTATTTATGTTTTAAATTTTAATCAAAGATTTAGAAAATATTACAATTATGTTACACAATATACTATAATTAATGATTTAATGAATTTAGGCTTAATTGAAAGGCCTTTCAATTAAGCCTAAATTCGAGTGAGTGCTGCAGTGACAATTTAGGCTTAGTTGTTGTTACATAATTTTTTTTTATTGAGTTATGATTATTTTTGGAACAAAATTCGAAATTATTAAGCTGAAATGATTTTTTGTTTTGCTCTTTCCGTCCTGTGGGCTTCTTTTATAGTAAGCCCATTACGGGTTGGACCAAAGCCCCAATAAAACGGGGCTTGACATATTTGAACAGATCACTCTGGAAAAATTCCCGGGGTTTTTGATTTGTTCGGATTCGGTTCCGGTCCCCCCCCCGGAGCAGCAGGCTGCCGTCTTAAATATTTATGGTACAAAGTTTATGAATTCTAACGTTAATATTGTATTTGTTTTTATATTGATGGATTTTTAATTTATTCGGGTTTTCTGAAATATATTCACGATTGTTTATTTCATAAAGCTGAACGATACTGAATAATAAACACCTCTAAGTATCTATTCGAGTAAATTATGTGTGAAGACGAAGTTGTAGCTCTTGTCGTAGACAATGGTTCTGGAATATGTAAAGCTGGATTCGCGGGTGATGATGCTCCCAGAGCTGTTTTTCCTTCAATAGTTGGACGACCACGTCATCAGGTAGGTTTATATTTGAATAACAGATTTTCTAGTTTATGTTGAAAAAAGTTCAATGAAAAATGCTTTCAAAGTTTGAAAAATTATTATTAATGTTTTGATATCGAATTTTAAATTTAAATAATTTTTAATAGGCTAAATCTTGAACTTCAATATGCGTGATAACATTGTAATAAAGATACACAAGTTCTCTGCTATCCGAAAGTAGAGCGTCCCTACGAAATGGCTAAAGCGAAGAACCAATTATCATAAATTTATATGGGAAAATTTTTTCAGCATTTCCAATCAAAAATTTAACCTACCAAATCAAATGTGTCCTAAGGACTCTGCATTTTAGGAAACATTTCTCTAATGGATGAGCAAAATAAATAGATAAAGCACAGATGCTTGCAGACACGGTTCAAAGCTATGACGCTTAATTAATGCTGAGAGGCCAAACGTAGTTCCGAGGAAAGAGCTTGAAGTTACTTCTCTCTGCTAAGGATGCACACTGCCTCTTAAAGTCGTACTGGTAAACATGCCAGGTATGCACCATCGGTACGTGTGAATTCGGCTTAAAACGTCTCGCTGCAAAATAAAAGACAAACGCTAATTTTGCTTTTCGCCTTTTTTCGTAAAAGCAAACATTTTTGGATCTCTTTTGATTAGCGTTTGTTTCTGGCAACGCAACACTTGGGCGATCTGCCTTGGGGGACACCTTTCGGGAGGTCTTTTTAAGGAAAACTGGCCACTATTTAGGCGTTACATACGCGGAGAAAACCCGGAAAACTCCACGCGTGAACCCACGACCAAACTCACAGTGTTCAGGATGAAGACCTCTTGGCCACTGGTGGACCGCTTTTGATTAGTGAAAACAGTTACTAATGTAGGTCTTCATAAAAACGAAGTAACTAAATAGGAAAATACTTAAATAGAAATAATTAAAATCTGTTTTTAATCTGAAAACCATAATTTTTGAAAGATATTGATAATATGAAATACTAAAACTAAAATAACATATTAATTAATTATTTTTATTGTTTCAAAATAAACACAAATTTTACTTTTCCGGCATTATAGAATATTAACATAGGAAAAGTGTGTGATCGGTCAAATTTTCATCTCTCCTCATTGATTTTTTTCCCATTTCTTGACGTTTTGACACTCCGGGCCCAAAAATGTAAAAAATACAGTGGTTTTATAGATCTAATATCTTAATGCATTTGTTTTATTGATACTTATTAAATAGGCATACTGCGAATTTAGCCTTATGTTGTTAAATACATTTATCTTGCAGTTTTTTCTTCCGCAGTACGAAAAAGTTGTTATAATTNGATTAGATTTAGCCGGACGAGATTTAACTGATTATTTAATGAGAATTTTAACAGAACGTGGCTATTCCTTTACCACAACTGGTAAGTTAGTCAAATAGTCCAGGGATGATTATGTTTTCTTAAATTTCAAAGATAAAAGTAAAAGGATTATTTATTTAAAAAATAACAATAGTTATAAAATTAATTCGTTGTACTCCAAACATGTTGACAATTTGTCTGGAATGTGTTCAATAGGAATTATGGCAACATCAAGAAAATATTGCAACAATTTATTATATAACTAAATAAAGTTAACCCTCGATAATTTTGTGCATCTCAGATTTCAAATAATAACTTAGTTTTATTCTTATATTATTCCAGCAGAGAGAGAAATCGTGCGAGATATTAAAGAGAAGCTCTGCTACGTTGCTTTGGATTTTGAACAAGAGATGGCAAATTCTGCCATATCATCAACTATTGAAAAATCTTATGAATTACCAGATGGCCAAGTGATAACAATTGGAAATGAAAGGTTTCGTTGTCCCGAAACACTGTTTCAACCGTCTTTTCTCGGTATGGAAAGTTCTGGAATACACGAAACAACTTATCTCTCCATTATGAAATGTGATGTTGATATTCGTAAAGATTTGTACGCTAACACTGTATTATCCGGAGGCACTACAATGTATCCAGGTATTGCCGATCGTATCCAGAAAGAAATAACAGCTCTGGCACCTACAACCATGAAAATTAAAGTAATTGCTCCACCGGAAAGAAAATATTCGGTGTGGATTGGTGGTTCGATTTTATCTTCTCTGTCAACTTTTCAGCAAATGTGGATATCGAAACAGGAATATGATGAATCAGGACCATGCATTGTGCATCGCAAATGTTTTTAAGTTAACATTAAGTATCATGTTTCATTTTCTTATAATGTTTTTGTTCTGTCCATTTCTTTCATATTCAGATAACAAAGATACATACTGATACACTTGCGTTTTATTTAATTGAAATTACGATTTTTTTACTTGTTTAATGTTGTTGTTGACTATTCAAAGTAAAATTTATTTGATTTAAATGTTCAGTTTTTGAGTAAATACCTGTACTTCTAAATAATTTGTTATGAAATAAAATAATAAAAAGTTATATATTTTTGTTGATTTAATTTTACGAAATATTAACTTTTACTTTTCCGGCTGTTATGTACAGTTTCAATAATTTCTGTTGTTAAATTTAACTCTCTGGGTCAAATTAAATACGGTTCTAATACAAATCCCAACGATTTGAACCCAAAAAAGTAAAAAAAAAAAAGAAAGAAAGAAAGGGAAATTCCGTGGATATGTTTTCATGTGTACATATTGTCATCTATTTCGTTTAATATTTCAGGATGGGGTAAAGAATAAGAAACGAAATTTAGCACGGTATTTTGTGTATAAGGGGAGTTGTTAAATTTTAGTGATGAAAGGTCGAGGGGGGATAGAGGGTAGTCACGTGTCATATCTCACGTGGGGTTGAGCTTAATGAAGATTTTACTTGTTAGCATTGTTTTTATAACAAAATATCATAATAGATGGTGCCACATATAATTTTATTTATTTATAATTAATAATTGAAAAGTGATTTTTTAAAATAAAATCGCATAGCAACCGGGAAAGTTACGCAACTCGTTGCTAGATTTTTTATTTGTTAATTATTCGTATTTTTTGTTTATATAATAAAATGTTGAAGATGTAAAGTTTTTAACTATATACGGAAAATTGTCACGTAAATGGTCCCTTTTTCTCTCAGTGAAAAAAATAATCAAATTATATGAGTAAAAATAATTTTAACAGTTAACCAAGCGCGTTTATTTTTAACTGTTTTTACCTTGTAGGAAGTAAAAGAATCTTTTGCAAATCCATTGTGGATTCGACTAGGTCCAGACAGAATACCTCGAATAATTTCCTGGGATTTGTCGACCCGTCTGGATTTGTTGTCCGTCCAGAGTATTACGTTGTGACCTTTTAACTTCTCCTTCTAGGCCATCAGGCCGTCAAACAATAGTACAAGAGATAAAAACACAATTAAACAGAGCTTATTAACTAACCTTTGATTTTTTACAGTTTGCGAGATCATATTTTTATAACATACCTGATATAATATATACATATATATCTGAATATAAATGATAAAATAAATGTCTTATGAACATATATTCTATCATTCCTGTGGCAAGAATTTTTTTATATGCGTTTCCCATGAGAAACTCTAGAACAGTGTTTTTTAACTTTTTTATCTCATGGCACATTTAAACCTATAATTAAATTTCCGCGAAAAATTAAGTGATTTAAGGTTGTGTTTGGGGCAAGTATATGGGGATAGAGTTTGCCATATTACTTGTCACTTAAGTTCTTTTTGTGAAGTAAATAAAACAGTATTCTTGTTTTAAAACAGCAGAAGGTTACAACAATAGTTATTTAAATTAATAATTTTCATTGTGCTGCAATTTGTGAAAATTCTAGACTTATAAATTCTCAATATCGTCCTTCCGCCTGTCTTTCCTTAATCTCGAAAACGGAGTTAGATAGATGAAAGCCAAGACCAGATGTGGAAATATTAGAGGCAGTAGACCCCAATTAACTGTATACGATTTTCCCCCGAAAAAAGTTAGATGACTTGCACAACTCTATTGCTAACGGAAAAAAAATGATATACAGGGGCAAGACACTACTAATTTGAGATTGGGAGCATATATTTTAAATTAAAAAATTATGTAAAATATGATTAACAGTTGCAGCCCGGCGTTGTGACTGTGTCATAATAAATAAGTGCTCGTTTACATAAGAAAAGCAATTAACATTAAATTTTAATTTGCATTTAAGATGAAGGTACACTGAATTTAAACAAGCATTTCATACTCTGACACGGACGTAAGAGATTTATTTCGGCTGAGAAGTGATTTTTGACTTAGTTAATGTCCGTTTTGGTGTTTGGTCAATACTCTGACTAGGCTTTCAAGAAGTGCGTTAAATGCTCTTATATGTTTTTGCGCACATCAGTTGGTTGGCCAGTTCAGCCTCACGTTGTCTGCTGCCATCGACACGCCCCAGGAGAAAGACCGAAACCTTCTTGTCTTCTTCTTAATTGATGCGGCATTTGACAGGAATGGTCGAATGGTAGGCCTAAGGTGCTGGTTTTAGGCAACAGTCTCTTCGGAGGCGTGGGTACGAAACCCACACCTGCCAACACGCTTTTTGCGCATTCTTCCACCTCATTTGTACTAAGAATTTTTATGCTCTTTTACGATCATGTTGAACAAATGCTGATGCAAAGCGCGCAGAAACAGTTTATCCTCAAACGATTCTGTTATTTCAGTTTTTTTACCGTAACGTGCAAAATTTGCATTCGCTTTCCGAAAACCTTAGATTTCTAAGCGCAAATCGGATGTAGCGTCGACACGAGTATCGATTGCAATAAACGCATTGTGCAAACGTAGCAATGTCATCGTTTTGCATACATGAACGAAAAACTAGACGTAAAAAAACGCATAAACTGGCAGGGGTGGGATTCGAACCCACACCTCCGAAGAGAGTAGTGCCTTAAACCAGCGCCTTAGACCGCTTGGCACCCTACCGACTGCTTGCATTTTTACCAAAATTTTAACTGTGCTTGGTGTGCTGACTGACTTTTCCAAAAGATATGGGATAGCTAAGTCCTCGTGTAGTCGCCAAGCGTTTGCCACAGAAATTGACTACGAGTAATTAATTCCTTGCGACTATATGGCCTCGACGTCGTCCTGCACTAAATTAATACTTGTAATAGTCGAGGTCGAGGTCGATTGCGTTCGCAAACACTGCCCGAAAAAGAAACGTGGTTTCCACCAGAAACGCCCCGTCCATCGTTTCCTCTTCGGAAATTGTTATTCATTAAGTCGTCAATTTCGTAATTCGATTTTCAACGAATACACAGCCAAACTGAAAGTTATGTCTGGTCTTGTGTGACTACATGTACCGTCTGGTATTGGATCGTGAATAACGCGCATAAAGGCAACCAAACGCAGATTAGGATTGAGATAATGCGAAAGAAAGTTTTAGTGGAAAATCGCTTGAATTTCCACACAGAAAGTCGTCGTAGTCATGTGTAAAATCTAGCGTGAAGCCAAAGCAAGAAACGACGAAGGTTTTCATTGAAAACAAAACGATCGCATCCGTATTCACCCGTATCTACTGTGTGGAATTTATCCGAATGAAAGTCGCAACGATTGCAGCGGCCGGTAGGGGTGGCCGAGCGGTCTAAGGCGCTGACCAGTCTTTTCGGAGTAGTGGTTTCGAATCCCGCTACTATCACTGCGTTAAATGCTTTTTCGTTTAATTAATGAAGTTTTGGATCTTTGCTTTCGACTTTGGAAGTGCCTAGGTTTATTTTAGCGTACTGAACGTCTTTCGTTTTCTCTTTTAAAATCAAATTTCTTTTGCATATTAACACTTTAGTAACGAACGTTGTAGAAATGGAATCTAAATACTTGTTTAGTGAGTGTAAGCTGTTAAAGAAAGTGGTTTAGTTTAAAACTATTCTCTACGGAGGAGTTGTAACTAGTATTTAGTCTCATAAACGAGAAAAAGAGATAAAGACTCAAGCATTGTATTCCAGCATATCGAGTACTCTTAAATCGGGTTTAAAATGTATAAATTTTTGCAAGAAAAAATTATTAATATTGAAACTTTCGAAAATGAACTGGATTGGCTCCAGTATTTTGGCCTGTAAAAAATACTTTTAAATTTATATATTGATTAAAATTTAAATAAAAGATTTCATTTTACTGGTCCTCAGTTTTAATTGTTTTTAATAAAGTTTACGATTCTAATTGTTTTATCGTTGCTTGTGAATTAACAATAGATTAGTTTCGCTAAAAAATTTAATGAATTAAGATGAATAGAAAATCAAAATTTCAAACTAACATTGCCAAAGACGATTGCTCGAATAGAATCGAGTATCTTCTACCCAACCAGCAGGCTCCAGAGTTTTCGGAAATTGCCGTAATTAACGAAGAATTTAAGGAAATCAAATTATCTGATTACAGAGGAAAATATCTGATTCTTATTTTCTATCCTTTGGACTTTTCGTGCGTTTGTTCAACAGAATTAATGGCCTTCAGCGAAAGAATAC